ACACGTGTCATCAGGATAAGACATGGTCGAACCGCACGTGTTTATAAAAGTGGTAAACGTATCTCTTCCGCATCGTAAGCGAACAATCATCAGTCGTGCGCTGATGGCAGTTAGTTCACCCACGAGCTGGCCATGGAGGCGATCGGATATTGCGAATCCGACCCATGTTACGTAGTGCTGAGTTGGCGTTGCCCACCGGGTGTAAGGTATAGCCCGCACCAATTTCAGGCAACTTATGTTGCTTAGCGAGCTGGGTTTCACTGAGCTTCGCAATATCGATGTTGTAGCGCGCCAATTCCATCGCGATCAATGCTGCGCGTCACTCGCAGCGCTTCACTCGAATTGCGGTCCATTATTGTGCGCAGGTTGCAACACCCGATGCTGAGTGCTTACTTTTTGGCGTACGGTTTTATTGGTGGGCAATCGCACGCGAAGTTGCGTTTGTGCTTTGGAGTTTTGCTTGAACGACTCCGCCCCAAATCTTTTTCTCTATAGCGTGACCCACAAGGCGGTGGGTAGCAAATCCTGCTCGATTATGTGATTTCTAACATAGATTGGGATCTGCTTGCGGTTCGTTACAGTCAGCTTTTGAAGTACTGGAACCATCCACATATGTTTTGCGACCATAGTAGGATAGGCATCTGCCATCACGGTCAGACGCATATTGGTTTTTGCGGGTTTGCAGCAAATTGACCATGGGCTGCCTGGCTTGCCACGGGCGGTGGCACACCATTGAGCACCTGGAGGTGTCCTTCCACTGTCAGAGACAATACGTGGCCCTCGTGTTCTACGCCAATCTAGCTGTGAGCTTATAACCCGTAGACATTTTGTCTGCCATGTTTAGATTTTACAGGAAGAGGGCCACCGAAAACTTTGTAGGTTCGAAGAGGATAGGGTTTGGGGTATGATACTGGCAGAGCTCCCACACCTGAGAAGAAATCAACCCCGGTCTGCAACCAAAGCCTTCGAGTAAATGTGCACCCGAAATGCAGCGGATCTAGCACATGGTTCGTTCGCTGACTTATGCGGTTTGGTGTAATTGATCTTATCAGGGAGAAGGGCGTAACCGAATTAGCACCCAGCGGTCGCTACGAGGATACGTTCAGGACATGAGCCCATGGCACAACAATAGCTGTAGTGGGTAGACCGTCCGTCTGTATCTAGCCACCATAAGCCTCAGAGCACCACTGGCTCTCCCGCATCCTTAGGCTGTAAGATACGTGCCAAATAACGTAGGAGGTTCCGTACCTTGGTCCATTTCCAGATAACGGTGGATAAGTGTTGATTCACACGGATTTTGCTCTCTTGTGCCATGGCATGAATGAATAGTTCGTTAGTCTCCGCCATTTGAGTGAACACAATATAAACGGAAAGGTGTTCCTGTCTGTTTGTAGTAGAATTGGTTGCACATACATTTTTAACACAACCAAAGTGGTTTTGACCTCAGTGAATTAACGTCTGCGAACTCACTAGAATCTCTTCATTTCTTCAATACAGTTTTTGTTGGGTTACCGTGGTCAACGTATCGAGCGTTATTACTGCCGCACCTTGATTTAAATCAGATGGTCAGACACGGGTACAGTTAATCTTTTAGTGGGTAGATATGTATAGCAGCTAGTTATTGTGTCACTGTCTTTCCTCTTCTAATCACGATGTTCCGACACATCTGTTAGGTTAAAGCAATGTTGCTGGCATCCGGCTCACCTCAGTAATGTGTCCGAAACCTTTGTACACAGCAAGCACTTATGGATACGTTTTCCTGGAAGTGACACCGTCACTATGGTAACCATGGCCGCTCAAGTCTCTGAATGGAATCTGCTGCCCAAATCCCATTATTTGGTAATAAGTGCTAATCCTAGCCTAGCTGTTAACCTTTTCTTAGTAAACCACGTGTCCAATGGTTACTATTATAACCAGAAGGTTGAAATTCGGAACTTTTGAAGGAAAAGTTGGTTCAACAAACTTCGAATGGTGCCATATTCAGTTGATGAGATCCATTTCTCGATGACATAACGCGCCCGATGGCTCTTAGGTTGGTAATCATTTTCGTTGGTACCTTCAGCAAGAATCGATTTTGTTAATCCAATATGTGGAGAGAAAACGGATCGTGCGTCCCTATAAATAACATGAACATTCCCATTTATCAATAGCACGGGACCGAATTTCAATATTTTTTAGTGGTTCATCTTCAGACGTGTGTAATCACAGCAGTGGGGGGCAACCAAGCAGACTACTTTAAATAAATGGTACCAGTTTTGGACAGGCCTTTGAACTGACAAAAATATAATTTATGGCAGTTAAGTGTTTTGGTCCAGTACAACTGGCTTCAATGTCCTCCACTTTCGCTGGACAAAGCAGTCGCAGAGTCTGGATCAGTTTATTCTAGGAACAAAAAGGTTGTAACAAGCAAATACCAATCGCGTCGGTTGTTGCAAACATACGGAGACGTATGTTCTTTGCTTGTAGCACTGGATCCCGTAGATTAGCCGAAACGCAAGCGTATTCGATTCTTGCTGTCAACTACGTTAATCAAAACGAAGCTTTTGATAGCCACAGTGTCGCCTTGACGTAGCTAGCATTGGGAGGTGCTTATCGACGATTAGACAATTAGCGCACCATTCGACCAACACACTTTATGCCACAGATGCGCTTGAACCTATAAATGAGAAGTGAGACAATCTGCATTTGGTTGTTATAACGCAATATTTCTCTGCTGTATTGATTACGATCACAGTGAACGAATTGACCGTGGTTCAATTCAGTGTGAATCATGGTATATATTGTGATTGCGTTTCCTAACGCATTTACATAACGAGTACTGCCAAGTGACCCACCACGCAGTCATTAACCGTTATGCCAATCTTTGCGCATCATGACGCAGTGGCTAAAGGAGTGCGGTATCAACTAACATCCCAATGGTCCCGGTTTGAAGCTTCCTATTTCTATGTCATGAGATCATATAATTTCGAAAACTATAGTGCAGTTATATTTCCGTCCGGTTAACCATATCGCTGGACAAGATTGCTGTCAATAAACGAATTTTCGTTCCCAATGATGTTTTTTATTGATAGCAACTTCCGAAAGATCTGGCATCCGGGTAGCCCACGTAAGATGCTTTTGCACTCTGATAATCGTTTTAAGGAAATTACAGGACAATACGCCAGCCAGTGGTCGAAAGGATAAGGCCTCTTTCTCGAAAACCGGAAAACGAGAATTCGAGCATATGTAGGGGCCAAGGCATTCCTCGCAGTATTCTTAGCCCACGCGCGCTTGGTGGGAGTTGAGTGGTGACAAAGCGTCCGTTCGTCGTACTGGCCTGCTGATGTCTTGTCTCTTTTTTATAAGACCTTTCGTAACTGTACTTGCTGACATCGAGAAGTGAGTACGCAGAACTTGCATGAATTGAGATTAGCAAGTTGATAGGGACTGAGATTTACATTAAATGGTGCTTTGATCACTGAAAAACATTATCGTGCTTAAAGCAATGGTTAATCTAGCGTTTCCCTCTTTCCAACTTGCTCTCTAGCGATGCTGTGAGATGCGGAGTGTTACTGAAACTGAGGCCACTCCTAGATGCCTATTTTGAGAGTTGAAGAACGGCATCCAGCTCACTTTGGGGGTGCTCTTAAACTTGAAACCGCTGACAACCGCTCTATATTTAGACGTGTTAACGTACCGACGGAAGGCAAACGTAGCGGTGTCATTGCCACGAATTTCACAGGCAGCTCCTTCCTGTTGTTTGCTTTGCTTTGACAAGCTAGGATCATCATATCCACAGCGACCTTCTTACAGACAGGTGCATGCACATATCAAACGCTCGCTCAGTGATAGGCACTTGTGCATCATCACTCATGATAGACAAGTCGTAGCCCTAAGAAGGCAGTATACATGCACGAAAGGTACTTCACCGAATTCTATTCAAATCCGAAAATATCTGCATTCTGTAACTCAACAAAGTATAGTTATAGCGAATATCCTCATAAACAGTACCAACTAATAAATTACCTTACTATTTTCCTAGATTTTATTTTATCACTGACTATATTTTATTGCCAAACTCATGAGAGCATGGCTTTCACGGACTGAACGAAAACAGATTTGCAATACTAAAGCCGCAGTGCACTCTAGATGCCGAATCAAACATTTTCGCATGACGTGATAAATGAACGCATATGTTTTGTTTTCCTACTGATAAGTGTACAGCGAAGTACTTGGTGACATAGAAATCGCTTCCGCAATTAGAAACGATCCGCCGGGATGAGCGACTATCGGAAGCAGTAACTAGGTACCAATGACGTCACCACGGGTTTTTAAACGTTTGGTGTCGCCCATCAAGCAACTAACCACTTGTTAAACTGTGGCCATTGCGAACAGGGTAAGTGAATGCTGTCCTACCGCAAATTTCTGTAATCGCTCATGTTCGATTAGACGTGGTAGGGCCAAAATACTCACCGGGAAGCAGAATGTGCTGAACCATGCAGAAAAGCTGCAACTTCTCCACTGGTTAGCATCAAGAGTGTGCTTGATTGGCATTATACGAATGAGTAGCCAGTAATGATGAGTAGGTTGTTCATAAATCACTTTATTTCTAGCCCATTTTCACCTCTTGACTGGGGTTATCCAAGCCTGTCACAAGGGATGTGACGCAGCCACAGAGCTGCTGAATGCAAAGCATTTGCGTTATTTCTGCCAATGATGCTGGCAAACATTTCAACAGTATAAACTGAGTCAGTCAAAGTGGACTGCCAACTGAATGATGCTGCACATAGTGAATGGATGTTGTTTGTAATCGACTACCTTAATCATAACATAGACAGTGCACACTCGGCCATATGAAACATTAACCAGCTGGTGACGAGCACATTTTTTACTCGCCAATCCCATCATTTGTAGATAAGCGTAGCCTAAGGTTAGAAATTTTCCTGCAATTCACATGAGGTGTTTTGGAATCTGACTCGAAGGAGTAGCTCAACGTGTTTCTTACTTCATTTTACTGACAGACAGTTTTTACCGACCTGGAAGTATTGTCCGTGCTTTTCGCCTGCGCAATCCATGACGTGGATCACCCTGGATTAACCAATCAATATTTGATCAATACAAGTAAGTTGGCTATCGTTAGTTGACGAAAGCTACTCAAGGGTCTGATAACTTTTGGTGCTTCGTTTAACTAAAGCCTCACGATATGCAGCCGATGATAAGCCGGAAGGTAAGAGAAAACTTCAATTTGCTTGTACGTGACGTCTCCATGGAGTGGGGTTTCGGGTCCGGTCAACTCAGTGGTTAAATACCATTTTGAACATAATGGAGTTGTCCATTTAATGGGGCTCTAGCATTTACTCTCTGGTGTTGTGACTTTAAGCCTTTTATTGATGGTTTACTCTTTGTTTTACAAATTACTGGAGCTCGAATCATTCAGTAACCACGTTTTCACTAGACTCCCATTCTTCTGTTTACGGGAACGAGATTTGTATCAGGCTGATGCATTTCACGCCGATGCGATCATCACAGTTGGATAGTGAAATAAACCGGCTTGTTATCATACCATTATAGAACCTTGGTGTCGTTGATACTAGTGCAAGTATACCAAATATCTCAAAGTACTCGTTGTGCCAGAAGACCGAAATATGGCTCAAGACATGTAGCGATCCGCCCCACTGTTTGTTGCTGCAGAGCCAGTAGTTGATAGTTTTTACCGAACTCAAGCTTACTACACATTTGCTTCTGCTTTACACCGACCTATCCTGAAAACACTTATCTGTCATCCTCCTAGTCATTAGTGATCCTAAGTTTGATAACCACTCACTTGCTTTTATGCAAACTCAAAATTTATCTGCGATATTCATCTGTATGATCTATCTTCCCAGAGGTAAATATCAATCACCGCATTTAGGAGGACTGCAGCAACGAAACGTATGCAGAACTCAGGCATCTTTATGCAATTTGGTGTGCAAATACAAATCAACACGATGAAAAGGAATGTGAGAAGTAATAGCCTTCTGTAAATAATAGAGGAACCCTTTTGGAGCATTAACCTTTTAAAGCAATAGAACCGACACGATGACAGCGAAAACGTCTAAAATGTGCCCGTGGGAGGAAACATTAATCAATGTGGCAATCGATCCTGCGCTCCATGTTTCTCTCTCTGGTTCCCTGACCAAGTGTGGATGGATATAATTCAGTGATTGCATGACAAACTAAGCATTATTAATGGTTGTAGATGACCTACATTTTTAAGCAAAGAAGCACCAGTAAAGATTTTAGTAGTTTAACAGACATCCTCGTCGTTTCTTAAATTCTCAACATAACTAGCTTAATTTTGTCTCATGACTGAAACCGCGGGCATTATTTCAACGAATCCGTTTTACTCTTGACCGATGGTCAACCGCCAGGTTCATTTAAGTGAACTAATTGCTCACGAAATCCATTTACTGAGATATTCACTTCAGTCGGCTGCACCCAGATGTTGATGTGGTGGCTCTGGTAATTCGTTGATTTCTACGTTCCGTTCCGAATTCCTGACGCACCGCGGAAATTATCGCAACTACTGCGATTTACTTGGTTGTGGACGAGAAAGGCTGCCAAATTTCGTTTGAAATTTGAACTTCGAAGCACCCGCCAAGTGGCTGAATTACCACAGTGCTGTGCTGATAGCGAGTAGCAGCGAGATGACTCAACACGGTTCAAAGGTGAATGAACGATGATTTATGGTAGGTAAAACAGCGAATGCTTGGCAACCCCCGTAGTATAACTGAAGTGAGTATTACAAATCTAAATGTATCAAAGGACGGGAAAAGGACTAAAATGGAGGATTTAGGTGAATTGCCAAGCTGTTCACCTGGACGCAATTGCAAAATCAAACAATGGTATAATAAGAGGGAAAAAAGTCAAAGCTAGACAAGCCCCGTGGGATGATTTGTGTGAATTACGTAATTGTACAATAAATGGCAATAAACTGAGACACACATATATGGATACCATAATATTCTGTATGAATTTCCGTTTACTCCGAGTTCGAGGCGGTCGGCGAGCACAAAGTTTGTTTGCGTCTTGCTGTTAAGCAATGAAAAGAACTAAAATCAAGTAATGCAGATGGTGTAATGCCTTGTCCAGTCGTTTAAAAAATGAATACATGGTCGTAGAAATGATGTAAGTTGAAAGAGTGTCACAGGGTTGACAAATTTTACGCTATAAGCAATTCCGGTGACATTCGAGCCGACTGTATTGAGTGGTCAGCTTCAGCTGGTGGAGCAGCAGTTTTGTGTTTCGGCTAAGTTTAAGAAAATAGAAGCGAATGTGACTGCGCTGCTTAAAAATCTGTAGCTCCAGAATAAGGTTACCAGGCAGAGGCCAACAAATTCCGCTTCAAATTACCACCGCTTTCAGTTGCAGGTTTTATGACAGGTGGAACAAACCATTGCCATTTTTGGTTGCCATTCGCAATGAAGTCTCTGGTGCAATCATATCGTGTTTTGGTCATGATCACCAGTCCTTGACCACGTCCTTTACATGGGACCGTACATACATATTGAGTATAGTATGTGGGAAGATGGAAGGGTCGTAGCGCCAGAACACCATTCGTTAAAAAAGGAAATGTTGGTTCACGGTTTTCGGCACCTTCAACAACCGCTCCAAATAGCCGAACTCGTCTTGTATCACTAGCGCAAGATGGCGCTGCTGCGAGGCGGTGTACAAGAGGTGGTCTCCATGGTTAGGCCGCAGATGTCAGCTTCAAGATACGCATTGCCTTTTGCCCCTTCCAACTATGAGGTCCTGTTATAAGACTGGTCAACTGCGCCCCCTGCTGTTATCCGTTCGGGTCATCTACTGGAAGTGGCCCACAAATTCATTTATCTAGGGAGTTGCTTCAGTCTTTGCGGTTTTAACGGATGAGATTTCCTTGTGCGTCCTTAAGGCTAGAGTAACTTTTGTTCAACTTCGTCAACTGTGGCATCGTCCCGAGCTCAGTCTTTTTTTGAGTTGCCGAGTGTACAATGCCGCAGTGCAAGTGGTTTTTTGACTTGCTGTGAGAAATAGCCCGTTCGCAAAAGTGATGTTCAGCGGGAAGCTGTCCACAATTTCAGCTGCCTACGGATCATTGCTGATGTTCGTTGGTTGCATCACATCAGTAATAAGGGGATTTGTCAACGAGCATCCAAATGAGAACACCGCCGACCGCTTGACAAGATTGTTTCATTGTGAATTCTTCACTGGCTTGAGCCCGTGATTCATGTTTTAAACCAGCGATTATCACGAAGTGCCGTATTTGCGAATGCAAGCATAGGCTAAAAGCGACGACAAAGAGGACAAAGGAAACCTGGACCCGATGCGTTACGACGCAAAAAGTCGAAGCTGGCTGTGGTTGGGAGCTTCTGACTACCAAATTTAGGACCCAAGCATCATGAACAGATCTGGTTGCACACTCTACTGGATAGTACCAAGAAGAGTGCGCAATGAGATTCTTCTTTGCTAACTGTCGTTTTCCCTTTCAATCTACTGATATTCCTCCTGTTTGTTGCAAAGCTCTGCTAAATGAATTGCACTCGGCAAGGTTTTGAATATATATATATATATATATATGTATACAGTGACAGGCAAATCCGAAACCGGATGCCGCCAACCATATATATATTCGCAGGCTTGTGGTGCACATGTACAGTTTTACAAATACTCGGGCGGAACATAAGAAGTCTAGACTATGACCATGCAAATGCACGGCCTATGTTTTGCAGAGGCAGATCGTGACCTTCCTGGTTTATAAATTATTCCCATTCTGATGTTTGAAGGAGAATTGTGCAGAAATTTGTTATCTTTAAATCTCCTCAGGCAATTACAATTCTGAGCTTCAAATTCGTCTGCGTAGAATCTATTACTAGCGATGCGACGCGAAGTCCTGAATGCTGCGACCGGATGAACGGTGGCAATCGACATCTGCTGGAACCCACTACCATTGGCCACTACACCAGATGTTAGTTGACCAGGCTAAAACCACGGTAGGGCTAAAATTTGCATAAGTACACGCTGTTTACACAGTTCCGGCTTCAGTTGATTGACCGCAGTTGTTGCTGCTGTGGCCAGTAGGCGCTTCCTGAGTCCTTTTGGACAGCATTTTGATGCTATATGCACTGCGTTGAAGGCCCCTTTCGTTTGTATGTCATGTCCACTATCTACTAGGTGTCCTAGGATGGAGCTGTGGACATTTTCGGTGGTACCATGCTGATTACCGATTTCCCATCATAATGTCACCTGCAAAACACAAGAAATTTAACTCCAGGCCACATACCAAGTCGTTGCTAAAGAACAACAATAAGTGTGGCCCCAACACTGATACTTGTGGAACACGACAGTCCACCACAGTTGGATCGAACAAAATACCCTAACCCGAACCGGAAGCCAACACTGAGGAAAGAAATTTCTACCCTAGCCAACAACAGGGTTCACCTTTCGGTATAAGTGAGGCTTTTGGAGAAAGATGCGATAATGTAATCGGTCGAAGGCTTTAGAAACGTCGTGATAGGTGAGATCGGTCCCGGTCCCACTAACATCTGTTTCGATCCAACCCACGCGCAATCAGTAGGTTGGCGACATATGACCGATGGTAACGGAAGACGTGTTGCCCAGGTGTTATGATGTTAAACCCTTTTAAATAAACCGATGACCGACTCCATCACCTTTGATAGGAGGAGAATCAATGTGTGATTGTTGTATGTTTCTGAACTATTACCAGCCTTAATAAACTGGATAATAATAGCCTGCTTTCACATGATAGGGACCTGCTGTTCATCTAAGCATCTTTAAAAGAATAAGGATAACGGCTTGGCTATCTCAGTAGCTGCCACCTTCAGTGCTTTCGACTGAGTGTTATCAACTCCGGTGCTTTGCGTCAGCGACAATAGCAGCTTCCTGAAAACGGTCTCTGAACTAAAAGTGACGTGATTAGGCACTGGTGTCTGCGGGAATGGGACACGTATGTGACACATGCTAGTGGTGCTTGGGAATATTGGAGAAAATTGGAGCCGTTGAACGTTCACAGCATCCTCAACAAATTTGGCACATTCGTATGCTGAGATGAGTAGATGAAACACCACGCTTTACTTTACGGA